GCTTCTGCACGGGCGGCCTCCTGGGCAGCTGCACGAGCTGCCTCCTCCTCCATGACCTCTCGGAGGGACTTGGCGCGGGCCGCCTGCTGCACAGCCGGCACAGGAGCCGCCGCCGCCGCCGCGGGCGCGGGCGCCGTCGCCGCCCACGGCGCAGGCTTGGGCTCGGCCGCCGCGCGCGCCGCCTCCTCCTGCTGCTGCTGTTGCTGCTGTTTCGTCAGCAGCGGCACGACAAGCGGGCCGCGGGGTGCCGCGCCATCAGATGGCTCGACCGCCACTGCACCCCTGGCCGCCGTCTGTGGTGGCCGAGCGGCGGCCGGCTCAGGCGCCGGTTCAGTGTGCTGCTGCTTGGGAGCCCGAGGATGGTGCCCGTGAGGCCCAACCTTCTCCCAACCGCTGCTGTCTTCCTGCGCCGCCTGCTGCTGCTGCTGCTGCTGCTGCTGTGGCGCAGCAGCGTTGGCAGCCTGCGGCTGCTGCTGCTGCTGCTGCTTGGGGGGCTGGTGCTGCTGCTGCTGCTGCTGGCCGCGCTCGGCAAATACGCTCAAGATGCCCGTTGGGGCCGCGGCCTGTGGCTGCTGCTGGGGTGGCTGCTGCGGTGTTTGCTGCTGCTGCGGCTGCTGCTGCGCCTGCTGCGGCGGCTGCTGCTGCTGCTGGAGGGATACAAGAGGCTGCTGCTGTGGGGGCAGCTGCGGCTGCTGCTGCTGCTGCTGCATATGCTGCGGCTGCTGCCCTGGCGACGGCTCGAGAGGTGTGCCAAAGAGGGTCCTCTGCTGCGGGTGCGGAGCCGGCGGCGCCAGAGGCAGGCCCCCTGAGAATGGCGGCATCGGGGGCGGCAACATGCCGCCACCGGGCATCTGCGGCATGCCCATCGGCATTGGGGGGAACGGCGCCGACTGCGGCAGGCCACCCAGCCCGCCCGGGCCCCAGGGGGCCGGCGGCGGGCCCCCGAAAAAGCCGCCGCCTGGCATGCCCGGCAAGCCCCCGCCAAGAGGCGGCGGGTGCGAGTGCGGGCCCAGCTGGGGGTGGGGCTGCGGGCCCTGGGGGTGCTGCTGCGGGAGCTGCGGCAGTCCGTGCTGGGGGTGGGGGCCCCCGGCATGGCCCTGCTGCAGCATGCCAAGCAGCGTCGGGGCACCCTGCGGTGCACCAGGGTGCGGGCTGCCCCAGGCTGGCTGCTGCTGATGGTGCTGCTGCGTCTGCTGAACGAGCTGCAGGGGTTGCTGCTGCTGCTGCTGCTGCTGCTGTTGCTGGGCAGCGCTGCCATCAAGCGCCAGGTCGGCGGGCAGCACCGCGGCCGCTGTGCTGGCAGCCACCGCAGCAGCCGCGTTCGCGGCCGCCTGCTGCTGCTGGTCAGCCGGCACCGCGGCCTCCCCACCCGCCGCCCCCCGCTTTGCGTGCTCCGCCCACACGTGCAGCATCTCGCGCAGCGGCACCCACGGCGCGTCGGCCGCGCCCGCCGCGGGCCGCAGCGGGAGCGTGTCGGGGAAGAAGTGCTGCGTGAACCATTCCACTATGTCGGCGCGGGGGAAGGGGCCCTGAACGTTGCCCTGGGGGTCCTGATAAAGCCACTGGTCCGCCGCAAGCGCCGCAAGCGACACGCCGCCCGCGGGCGCGCCAGCAGGCGCGGGCTGCGCAGCGGGCGGAGGCGCCGCCGCCGCCGCCTGCTCGCCCTGCCCCGCGCCGGCCGCATCGCCGGGCGGCTCAGCGCCGCCGCCGCCCCAGTCCTCGTCGCGCGCGTCCTTGTGCAGCGGGCCGAGCGCGTCCGGCTTGAGGCCGCGCGGCAGCGGCAGGTCGCCGCCCACCTTGGTCTCCATAATCTCACGAATGTCCTCCAGGTGGGTGGGCGTGTAGAAGTTGACGTGCCGCCGCGACCGCCCGTGCGCCAGCCCGCCGCTGCCGCCGCCGCGGTCGCCACCTCCAAAGTCGGCGCCGCCGCCAGCCCCGCCCCAGTCCCCGAAAGAGCCGGGCGCGGCGGGTCCGCCGCCGGCGGCGCCGCGGCCGCGGCCGTATGCGAAGCCGCGGCCTTTGCCCGGGTCGCGAGGGTCAAAGCGCTCGGGCGCTGCGCACACAGGGGCGTGACCAGGGGTGTCCAGTGGGAGGATGGGTGGGACGCGCACCGGCAGCAGCTGCTGCGCGAGGGTGTGTCCTGTGATGCATTACGAGGATGCCTGCAGGCGCGAGCCAACAGCTCGCCTGGCGCTGGGAGGCCTCGGCTCACGCATGGCAGCGGCAGTGTCTGCAAGTTCCATGGACAGCCGCCCATGCCGCATGCTGCAGACAGCTGCTGCATGATGGACGCTGCAGATAATGGCTCTCACCAGGGGAGCGCCAGTTGCCGTAGCCCCGCGCTTCATACCTCTGCTCCGGCGCCTCTGGCCCTGCAACGGATTGGATCCCATGCGTGACAAGCTGCGCGCAAGGCGCGCCAGGCCTGCCGCGGTTGCATGCAGCATCTCACATGTGTGCGAAGCCATGCAACGGTTCTTCCGCCGCAGACCTGCATGCAGGCCCCCGCATGGCGCCAACGCCACCCACCTGCTCCCCAGGCAGCCGTGCCGGCCGGCCTGCCGCCCTCCTGCCGCGTGTTTGGGGTCCACTTGTCCTCAGGACCCGTGCGCCAGCGGTCCCGTGCACCTGGGTCGCGGAGCGCCTCGCCGCCGCCGCCTCCCACCCCGCCTCCCGTGCCGCCGCCCCCGCCCCAGCGGTCGGCGGCGGGGTACTGCTCACGCTCGCTGCGCGCCGGGGGGTCGCTGCCCCATGCGCTGTTCTCGAACGTGGGCTTGCCCCATCTGCGAGTTGCGGCCGATGAAGGTTGCAGTTTCAACCTGGAACCGCTACTTTGCATGATCTGGGCGCCCTGACCCTCGGCCCTCACCTTGAAGGCTCCCTGGCACGGGGGGGCTGCACACGCTGCCTCTCATCTTCGGTTGCCCAACGCGATAGCCGAGACTCGGTCTCGCCAGTCGATCCCCACTTGCTGTCCTGCCCTGCCTCCTTCTCCGTGCTGCCCCATCTGTCCGCCACCCAAGGCTTCTCGTCGGGCCGCTTATGAGGCTGAGGTGACTGGCTTGGCTTGTCCTGCGAGCAGACGGCCATGTCCACCTCGTCAGCTGGTGTCGCCGCATGCACACTGCAGCACACCGCTAGCGTGCCCGCGCGGCCACCCACCCCTGAAGATGCTGAGGGCTTCTCCCTCATCCACTGAGGTGCAAGAGCCGCCGGCTCCTGCGAGCCTATCGAGCCCTGCCGGCCCAACATCACGATCAAGCCCGCCGCGAGACTGCTGCGAAGGTGTTCGATGGGCGGATGTTCTCAAACGTGCACGTGAGATGCTGAAGCAAGGCTTCTGATGGGTGCTGCTGCAAACTGTGTGCTTGGTGTTGCGGCGCGCAAGCGTTTCTTTCGCTGCTGCTGTTGGCTGCACAAATCCCTTCACGGATCGGCGGGAAGCACGTGAAAGCGCCAAAGCTGCGCACCGATACACCTTCAAGTGCTGCACCAGTGCGCTGCGCTGGGCTGCAAGCAACAAGAACACCATGGCGGTTGCCAACCAACTGGAACTGCAACGAAAGCGTTCGTTCATGGCGCCTAAGGGCGGGCTTCCTGGCTGGCAGTGGCGATTTCCTAGAGCAGACACATCCACACAAGGTGATTATATGAGCCAAGAGGGGCTTTTAGCCACAGTGCTGCAGACGGTGCTCACACATATGCAGGTGATTTTGTATCGGACCTCTCACATCAATGCACGGCAGCTGCGTGCTGCAAGCAAGCCCGTTTGCGGCGTGAACGCAGTAGCACAGTGATCCGACACAACGTGGCAATTCAGTGCAACCCAGGGATTCGAGACATTGTCAACCGGAAGCACAGTCATTCACCTGCTGAAGTGTGTAAGTTGCAGGGCTTGGCCTTGCGTGGAATTGCAATATGGTACTGTATCACAGAATGGCAACCCTTGATTTCAGGGTGCTGGCATGGAATCGCAATTATAATATCGTCGTATGACGGGATTCTGCAGTGTTTTACACAGATTGGCCAGCTGAACCAAGGGGTCGTGCGCATGCAGCTTGTTGCTCCCACACGGCATCCAGCATGCTGCTTGGCCATGCTGAGGAGCTGCTTGCAAATTTGCATTCGCATGGGTATCCCCAGACATGCCTCTGCTTGCGTATGGCCATCAGTGGTAATGCCGGCCGTGTGCCGAGCTCCAAATGACACGTTTGACCAAGTCCGAAGGTCATTCTTGGGCTTGTGCGCGAGCGGGTCACATACCGGGGCCTTAGTTTGCACATGCATGTTGCCAACTTAGTTCTTGATGCTATTCAGTAGGTTGGTTGGAAACATGGGGGCGTCGGAGGCGCCTGCCCACACAGTATGAGTCGATCCTACTAATGGTTGACCATGCCCAACAGTCAGGACGCGCACATCAACGGCCCCTTGCACTCATACTCATCTTGTATGAGAGGTCTCAGTGCTTGGAATTTTGGTTGGATTTAAAAAGCCGTCGGCGTGTCGGCGAGTCGATCTAGAGCACGAGCAGGATGCTGGGCGATGGCGCGGCGCCCGCAGTCCAGCTCAAGGTGCAAAGCAGCTGTGAAGCGCAGCAGAGTGGCATGGTCCTGGTCCAGGTCAGTTGTCGACGTTGTTTTGGGGTCTCATCACTGTTTGAGCCGGGCGATCACGCCCTGCGCAGCGTGCGCTCTCCACTCCTGAATTGCAGTGCTTTGTTGCTACTTCAACACAATATAAGAGCACCACGGCCCTCAGGCATACTACCTTGCTGTCCGCTGCATGCACCACGTGCGCCGCTGCAGAGCTCGCCGCCCATCAGCACAGAGGAGGTCCGGGCACGCCTCCAGCGGTTTGGCGTTGTACTTTGGTGCAGTAGCGTCACGCCGGGCTGCTGCATTGTGCAGCTGGGCCCGCAGGAGGCTGCAGCCGCCGCCGTGACCGCCCTCGATGGCCGCAACACCGGCAGGACCATCCTCAGGGTCAGCCCGTACTCAACTGGGCCAATGCCCCGACAGACAGCGGACAGGTGCGTCGCACTGATGCAAATGATGCATGCGTGCAGGGGCATTCGGCACCCTCACATCTGCATGGCGTTGGGCTTCAGTCTGCTACGTGGGAGAGCATGGCGGGCGAAGGGTCTGCCACGCGCCTGGCAGGCCTCACATGTGTGCATGCGCCACGCAGGTGCGATGCATGCGTGCAACGCTGATCCCCTAACCTCAGCTCCCTCCCTTGACCTCATCGTCTTGTACCATCGCAGTTCGCCACCCACAAATCGCCAAGATAGTATCGCAGCCCTGCTCTCTTTTGACTACCTCAACCAAGCCAGGTTTGACATGCAGCAACAGCAACAGCAGCAGCGGCAGCAGCAGCAGCAACAGGAGAGGCGCCTTTCAACAGAACATGGGCAGGAGCAGCAACTGCACGCCGAGGTCCAGGGAGCGCAGCGGCAGGGTCAGCAGCTGCAGCAGTCCGCGCGCGCCAGCGCCGACACGCCCTTCAACCTCGTGCCGTGCGCCAGCGAGTGGGCCCCGCCCGGCGGCGAGGCGCTGTGCCAGGCGCTCGAGGGCGACGCGCCACCATCAGACGACGGCGGTGCCTTCAACATGGCAACACCAGACGATGAGATCGCAGGGATTGACTCGCTTGATGCCGACGCCCTTGCAAGCGACGGCGGCAGCGGCGCCAGCGAGGCGCCTTTCCGGCTGTGGACCCAAAAGTCGATCGTTGCCAGCGCCCGCGACGACCTGACGCGGTTTGCGGCCATGCAGGGGCGCAGCGGCGCGGTCGCCATGCAGCAGGCGCAGCACGTGCAGCACGACGGCCTTGGCTGGGAGTTCACGGTGCAGCAGCAGCAGCACCAGCACCAGCACCCGCAGCACCAGCACCAGCAGCCGCAGCCGCGGCACGTTGAACGCGTTGCCGCAAGTGGCATCCCCAGCATGGGACAGGACAGGCGGGCCAACTTTGGCTTCGCGCCGGAGCCGAGGGCGTCTGAGAGTGAGCGACGGGACAGCCGGCTGGCACACGCAGGCAGCCCTAAAGGCATCCTGCATCGCCGGGCATGCTGGTTTGTGGTGGTTTGCGGCACCAGCGTTTGCTGTAGCACTCTGCTGGTCAACGTCCTAACGAATTTCATTAGTCATGTAGTGCCGACCCCACGCATGATGCGTTGTCTTTGCCAAACACAGGCGGCGGCAACAGGCTCCTGACGCCAGAAGACGATTGGCTGATGGCCGGGGCCCTCCTGCAGCAACACATGGCCGCCGCGCCGGCGCACGCTCAAGCCCCGGCCGCGCGGCGCGCCGGCGGGCTGCAGCAGCCCGCGCCGCAGTGGGCCGCGCCGCCGCCGGGGCTGGCGGCGCTCAACGCCGGCTTACTGGGCTACTTCCCCTCCACCCGAAGCTCCAGCCCTTATGCCCACGCAGATGGCAGCCCCGCTGCCGCAGCCGCGGCGTCCGCGGCGGCTGCCGGGCAGCTGCCGGCGGGCGCGGGGCTGCACCACCTGCGCATGTTGGGCGCGATCGGCGCGGCGGCGGCGCCGGCGTCGGCTTCTGGCTTGCCGAGCCCGCGCACCGGTGGCTCAGGCCCCGCGTTTGGCAGCGTCAGCTTGGCCCCCAATGATGGCATCCCACATCCTGCAACCCTGCTGCCAGCGGACGCGGCGGTCGCCCCGCCGGGCAGCCCCGCCCAGCAGCTGCAGGCGTGGGCGCAGGTGCACGCGCAGGCGCAGGGGCAGCCGCGGTGGCACGAAGAGCTACCGCAGGCGCCGCAGCGCCCTGGCGGCGGCGGCGGCGGCGGCGCGGAGGAGTGCTTCGTGCGGCAGGTGATGCGCGCCCTGGAAGCGGGCGGCCCCGGCCTGGGCCCGGTGCTGTCAGAGCTGCGGGACCTCCTGGCCGCCGCCGCCTCCTGCCCCGGCGGCGGCGCCGCCGCCGTTGACGCGCCCGTATTTGTGGGCCTGCTGCAAGAGGCCGCGGCGGCGGGGCTCGCGGCCGCGGCGGCGGCGACGGCTGCGGAGCGTCCGGGCGCCGGGCACCGCGGCGCGGCGGCGGCCTCTGGGACGCCGCGGCACGGCGGCGGAGGCGGCTGGGGCGACGCTGGGGAGGGCCGCGGCGGGCCGCCGGGGCCGCAGACTACAGGTGCGGAG